TCAGCAGGACATATGCTTAAAGATGAAGACCTTTTATAAGTGCTTTGCTGGAGTAGTGCGAAAGTGGCATAAATTATATTGCCCCAAAATAAAATGATAGAAAGAGTGAGGTCCATTCAATAGCACTGTGTAATGCATTTCAAAAAAGAAAAGCTTATTTTACGCTAAGCCTATTGGTTTTATACCAAAGCCAAATTTTGTGTGGTTCTAATTTACTAATACAGTGGGGGTGTGATGCAGTTTCAGACTGTTGGCTCCAAGTATCAGTAACATGCAAGATTTCATAAATGTGTCAAATGCTATATTAATCCTGGGGGAGGGGGTTCTGCTTTACTGTATTTTGTTGCATAATTTATACAACCATAATATGCTATCACTTTTTATTACCTTGACTCTGGGTTAATTAGAAGGTATTTCACTCTATTTTAAATGTGAATCAGGATTCTGATGTATCTTTCCAGACAGAAGGTATGTTCTTGGTTGCAGATTGAGGTGACTTGGAGGTTGATGTCAAATGTTACTTTATTAGCCAGAATCCTGGTATCCTTTCCTCTAAAAGCTGCCTAAACTGCATGTCCTAGAAGCTTTTCTGAAAAACAACAGTTTAGAAGTGTAAGTGAAGCATCTAGTTCTGCAGTCTTGGAGATAGGAAGTATTGGCAGCATATTAATTACTTCAGCTTTGTCCCGTTAATGCTCTTTTCTTGTCTGGAAGGATCTCAGCTCAGCAATTAGAGACCCTAGGTCTGGCTTCCTTTTCCATTTCTGTAAATCTAGAGTTATTCCAGTGGTTGTGACAGCATGATAGTTCTCAGCTCTGCCTTTCCGAATGAATTCCGTTTAATCAGGGCTGGCTGGATTTACCCGGGGGCACATCTGGTGAAATTCTGAAGAATCAAGCCCAACAGATGAGAAAATGTTTTAAAAGTTATGTCAGTTACAGAGGAGCTCAACCTGCTTTCCTTCCTGTCCACAAATAACTCTGAAGTTGAGAGCACCAGTATTAAGAGATTCAATGTAAAGGATACGGGGAAGGCGATGATGATGAATTGAAGCACAGGGAGCTGAAGTGACTTGCCCAAGACTGGCCACGAAGCCATGAGAGAGCAAGAAATGGAGCACGGCTCTCCCATGTCCCCAGCCCAAGCTATAGGATATTGGCTACACGGGCAAAAGGCAGTGGACCATGGTTTCCAGGACGCTCCTGCGACTGCACATTGCCATCTAGGTGTCCGCTTCCACCCACAAATGAGATACTGCACCACAGAGTCACCTGAATTTAAGTGCCAGGGCTCTGATCTGCTGGAGAAGCTATGCATTGAACTCCTACTGAATTTATGATTGAAATTAAATAGGAGATAGACCTCTAAGCTCCTAGCCTTTGAGACCTGGCCCCGGTGTCTCGCGACACAAATGTGCTCGTGCAGTGTCCAGTGCAATGGGGAGTACTCTGTGTAGTTGGAGCCTGTCAGAGAAAAAACAATTCACAAAACAACATGGGGGGTATACTTGCAAATTAAACTTCAGTTTAATATCTTCTGAAGTGTTGCAAGGAAAAGTCTAATGCACTGTCCTTACAGGGGGAAATAGGTTTAAAAAGTTGATGTAAACACTCTGCATAGCAAAACTGGAAACTTTTTTTTCCAGATTTTGCTGTAAAACGTATAATTGTGAAAATTATTTTTGTCTTTATTCAGGTGAGATATGGAACTGAAATGCATATGATTTGTGATGGCACAAAATGATTTTGTTGCCAGTTCCTCATCAGGGTGAGAAGATAAAAACTCTTTTTGGGTGTATCACCCAAAGGATCCTATGTAACACAGGGTGAGAGAAGGGGTTTTATCAGCTCTACTGACAATTAGCTTGATTCCTACATTCTTAACAAAAAGGAAAATACCACAAGTTGAATGGGATTCAAAATGAGTGATCTAACTAAAAGGAAAGGAGACAATAATTCTGATCACCCTTTTTTTGTGCCTTCTTTTCTTGGGTATGACTAGATATGGCTTGATTCTGAAGAAAGGTGAAGACAAGGATGACTTTCAGTGCTTCCCCCCCGCCCCAGCAAATCAGTGTGCTTTTTCTTTCAGCAGACTATTACTTAGTTGTTGTTCTTCCTTCAAATGACAACCTGCCTGGGTTTAGCAGATGAAGTGGGTTTGTTACAAGACCTCCTTCCAATATAAGTGGCAGTTTCTGGATGGGCCACATCAATATTGACTTATATTTGCACTCTGCATCACAAGTGAATCTGATGGAACTGAATGCTGAAATAGAGGCATGAGGTTGCTGGACTGGCTGCAGACATGTTTGTCTTGGGAAGTGACGTTTGGGTCCATGCAGAGGTACGCAAGTCCATCGGCAGGACCTTCAGCTGACTGACAGAAGGCTTTTCTGCCATCAGGCGCATGCCGCAGCTTACAGGAGGAGGCAATCCAAGAAAAAACACCCAGAGCTGAGACCTGCAAGTGGCCGGTCATTTGTTTTTGCTGTGTTCCTCTGACAGGTTGGGCTGCAATACTAGCTTTTCTGATAACCGCTTCTTCTGTTTCCCTCCTACTCCATGTGCAGGAGCCTTCTAGATGCCTTGTGTCATGAGGCTAAGCCTAGCAAATTGTCTTCACCATGTAGACTTTTAAATAGTCTAGAATCTACCTCTCTGAAAGCTGTTCTCACCTTGTATTGTGCTGTTGCAGTCGTAGTTGCAGTCGTCGTTCCTGGAGCAACATTAGCTGAATTGCTGTTGTCATGCAAGACTGGGGCTCTGACCAGGACATTCTTCTAAAGGTGATGTCAGCTCTGAGTCTGCTAGTTTTCCTGGGCTGGAAAGATGAAGCCAACAGTTCTTTGGACATACTACCAGGCTGCTTGTTTTTATTTTTTGTTCATATTGGGGGGTAAATGGGCAGGGAGCCATAAAAAAAAGGACTGTATGTTTGTAAAAGTATATGATCAATTTATTTTTGTAGGGAAATAACATGGCACAGCATGAAGTTATAAAAGGAGGTTGCAGTCAGTGCTGCTGGCATTAATTTAACTAGAGAATGTGCCCTTAAATGTCAGGAGACTGCAAGAAGCACTGAGTTATTTGAGAAGACAGCAACTTTGATGTTGATTTTTTTCAGCAAAAATGCAGAAGATTAAAAGCAGCTTTCCAATTTTGCCAACCTTCTTATTGATAACGTGACTTTAGCAGGGCTTTAGCAGGGCTTTAGCAGGTGCTCTAGGAAGGTTAACAAAACCATCATGATTATGGTGAAAGAGTATCCATGAACTAATGGGCTTGTATAGGTGACTCACCACTGAAGCTAAACTCAGCAACTGATAAACTGAGCAGCTAATTTGCTGTGAAGATACTACAGTTCCAGATACACCATCCTCTCATACTGGCAGATAAAACAAGACCAGACAATCTGGGTTATAAAAAGAACATGGGCTGCAATCGTATTTCTTCCATATCAAAATGTAAGAATGGCCATTCTTGATCGAACTAAGGGCTTGTCTGTCTTCAGCAGGGCATCTGGTGAGTGCACAAGGAAAAGCATGTAGAAACGTGGCAGTAGGATGATCCTACCCCACATATGTCATCCTCGCTTCTGTCAGCTGAGTAGTTCAGAGGCTTTCAGAGCCAGAGGTTGCATTAGGTTGTGTTTAATGCCCCTTGATGGGCCTGTCATCCGTGAATTTATCTAATCCCTTTTTGAACCTATTTATGTGTCTGCTCCAGAACATCCTGTAGCAATGGGTTTTGCACTCTACTTTTGTGCTGTATGAAAAAGCACTTCATTTGCTCATTTTAAATCTACTGCTTGATTGCTGTATTGGATATTTCTTACTTCTTTCATTTGAAACAATACAGACTGCTTTGATTTCCTGATATTCTTCATGCTATTCATGATTTTATGAATCTGTTATCTCTTCTCTCAGCCTCTTTTCCAGGCTCAGAAGTCTATTTATTATCTCCATATATTAAAAGTGTTCCAAAACTTTGATCCTTCTTCTTATCTCCTCCATCCTCTTTCCAGCTCTGTTAGATCAGTCTATATCCTGTATCCACCTGTATCCTCCTTCTACATCTGTTACCTTAAAGGGGAAGAAACTAATTCAAGAGTTCAGTGATCAAAGTGTTGGGGGTTTGAAACCATGCTTCCCAGTTCCTCAGAGAGCATCCTCGGGCCGTCTACCTATCCAGGTTGTGGCATTCCCCTACTTTTCTTTGGAGCTGATGTTGAATATTTACCTGGGCTTCAAGGAGGTAGGAGGGTGAGCTGGACTCTGCTGTCCAGTGGCACTTGCATGCTGCTCCGACACCCCATCAGTCAGGATAAAGTGCATTTGCTGCCCTCGGAGCTGTGACTAGGATTCTGGTTTCTCTCTCCAGGCAAGTGTCTGTAAACACACAAACAGGCACATGCATCCTGTCATTTAATGAAAGAAAGAAACAAACTACAAATATTAGTTGCAGAAGTTCAGTATCTTCGTGCTAATGTACACAATTGTCTCTGTGAATTGGGACATACTGCTGCTGGTTTTGGTGTTTTGTTTTGTTTCCTTTTGTATTCAAAATCCAAAATAACCCAGCAGCTGTGTGTGTAGGTAGGCAAATCTGGGTCAGTAATGAAAGACTTTGGGGAATGATGGCCCTGATCTGGTAAAGCTCAAAGACATGTGGGTCTTTGAGCAGCTGCTGACAAGCTCTGAAAAACTGGAGGGGTTATAAGCAGCCAGTGAATGGCAAAACAGATAGATAAATGACTACATAATACTCATTATTCCTAATTTAGTCTCTCAACCTTGAAATGAGTGGAATGTGTTATTGTTTGTTATAGTACTAGCATTATTTATTGCTTGTCAGATGATAGGGCACAGAGATCCCATTGTGATGCTGTATAAACGTGTAGTTAAAGGGCTACATTTGATACTAAAAACTCCATTTTAAAGCAGCTTTAAAAAGTCCCAATAATTAACTGATTAATAAATCTTCATATAGTCCTATAGCATCCATAAAATAGTCAATAGGTTATTACTAAACATAGCAACTTACAACTTCTTCCACAGATGTGCTTACAAACATTTATAGTATACCACATGTACATGTGAAACCTTCTGATAATAAGTATTAACTATTAAACCTCAGTAATTAGATTGCCAGTGATAGGAAAGAACTGCCTCTTTTCTTCATGGGTAGTATTAAAGAACTTAAAGGCTGAGCATTTAGCTGTGTAGGATTAGAAGACTTTCAGGAGGACTAGGTATTTTATTTGGCCAGGCCATGAGACATGGTGAGTATCAGCAGCTGAAATCAGTCTTAATGAAGACAAATGTTGAATACCTCCTGAAATCAACCAAAGTAGCTTGCTTTCTGCTGAAAATTTTCATATGCCTTCCAGTATTCCAGTCCCTAATTTTTTGTCAATGCATGGCATATTACAGTGATATTTATATCATTTATACTACTGAAATTTTGATACTTGGGAAACCTAAGTTTGAATTTTCAGAGCTTCATATCGCAGCAAAGTCAACTGTATGCAGATTTTAATTTGCCAGAGTTAATGTTTCTGTGATAGATATGTATGTTTGCTTGTGCAGTAACCTGATGTTAGATCAGGGAATAGAAGCCTTTGCATACTGTCCACATAGATGATAAAAGAAAACCTGTCCTGAAGGGGAGCTTAGCGTCCAGTATCAAGAGTACACAGTGGTTGTTTTCCAATGTTACTGTCCCTAAAATTATACACATTACAAGAATGATTTGTGGATTTTTTTCTCTCTTTTCTTATGCTTATGTAGTGGCAATTTGTATGTTTGCTTTAGCCCAAATCACTCTGTTTTCATTTTCAGAGGCTAACAGAATTACCAATGACTGTATTGATAATCTTGGGGCTATTTTTATATGCTGAATCTCTTTTAAGAGTCTGCTCTGCTTAGTGTTACAATCATCATACAAAAGTACAATAAAATTATATTAAGAAAATATGGTGAGATCTGTGCATAAGTAATTTTTATTTATGCCTCTGAGAGTTGTGCACAGACGCTGATATGACACAATACCCATTATATTTATTTGTAGCAAGAGTGCTATCTCCGTAATAAAATAAGCTCGAGATAAGTGGTTCTGTCACCTACTTCACTCCAGAGTTTTCCCTATATTTTTATTTATCTGGTTTTGCATTTACAAAACTTACTAGAAGCTGAGAAATACAAACAGCATATAGCATATACAGCCTAATGTACTGATTTTATTTCCACGTTTTAATTATAATATTTAATTGCATTGTTTACTTCTCTTGTCAGTATGATTCCTTTTGCCACTTACGTTCTTCCCGTTTGCCTTTTGGTTTAGTTCGTTGTATTACTGCACTGAATATAATGTGAATAGCACTATTCCGAAGGTGAATTACCACAACAGCTAACAGCACGTGGTATCTCTCAGATCTGTTAATGTTGCACTGCAGACAGTTGCTGAAGTTGCATGACTCTTTTTTTTTTTTTTTTTTAAACTTTTGTGTGCCTGTGCTTTACAACTGGTGATAATATTCTGCTGAGACTTCATTATGTTTTTGTGAGAGATTTGCTTTTTTCTGTTTCACTAGTTTCATTGCATCTTCATCCAAAGAAGTTGATGTATACTCACTGTAAACAGTAAGCATCAGAGTGATGGAGAGAAGAACTTAATGTGTTTGTCTTTTTAATGTTTAACTGCAATGTTTAAATATACGATGTAATGATTTTAATTGCCTGCAGATAACTAAGCCATCTATAACCCTACTAATGTGAAAGGGAGGAGGAACCCTTAATATAGCCCTCCTGTATAGTCTTCTATTTCATTAATATTAAGAGTAGTATCTTACAGTGTTCAAAAGCGTGGAGTTATTCAGGGATGCAATACGACTATTTTCTTCTCTAGGCCTTAGGCTCCTTGACCACACTCTTCTGCTGCAAGGAGGGTCCTACAGTGCTTTAGAAGGTCTTTCATTTTGAAAGTTTGTAGTGGTTTAAAAAATATTCTGTATGCTTAAGATAGCATAGATTGTTCAATGTGGTAGTTTCTTGGACTAGTAGAATATTTTTAACAGATTAATTGCCAGAAGGAAGGCGATGATGCAGTCTCACCCCTCTGCACAGTGCAGTCCAAAGAAGCTTGCTCACGAGCCTGTGCATCAAATCCATAACTTCTATTTGTGCATTAGCGTTGCTTTCCAGATGTTATCCTGTCTTGCTGAAAAGGCTTTAAAGACTACAGAATTTACTGTGCACACAAGGTAGTTGCTGCAAAGATTATTTGCTTTGATAGTTATGTATCTACATTTACTTATAAATCTCCATTTGACTAGTTTCAGCTTCCAACAAATCCTTGGATTTTCTGATACCTTTTCCTCTAGATCAGAGACTCACAATTAAGATACTTCTCCATGTAGGTGCTCGCAGACTGGGGCAAAACAATTTCTTTGCTGCTTCTCAGTTAAACCAAATAAACTGAGCTTCTTAAGCCTCTGATGAAATATGTTTTTCTAGCCCTCAGATCACTTGCATAACCTTTTTCTGAACTTCATCCCATTTTTAGTCTTCTTTTGGAGTTAAAGAGCAAGAACTAGAAACAGGATTGTAGTAAGCGTCTTGCTGATGCCGTGAACAGGAATAACCACATCTTCCAGCTCCTACTTGATTGTGCTTCCATATACGGATGCTAAGGATTGCTTGACCTCTTGACTGCATTGTTGTTCAGGAACTTCACGTTCGTGAAACTGTCTTTTATAATACTGTTACACTAGAGGGTATAACCTCTCATCTTTCTAGTGCGATATGTATTCCTTGCTCCTAAGTGATTGATTCTACATTCTGTTGTATTAAAGCTTTGTCCGTATGAGCCCAGTTAACTAAGGGATACAGAGCAGCATGCATCACTGGCCAGTTTCCATTGTTAACCACTCCTTTGAATTCAGTCTCATTTTTTGTTTCTTAAGAGTGCGTCCACTGTCATATTCTTTGTCCCAGCAAAATTTTTGATCAGTCTGTGGATCTAGCCCCAAAATAACTACCTGAATCATGATGTCAGTTCCTTTCAGTTAGGGGGTCAGCATCTCCAAGAGCAGGGGATGCTTTTATTAGCATTTGTTTTGCTCAGATCAGTAACAAGAAAATCAAAGGTAAACATAGAGTAGGGATGTAAAACATGAAAGGGCAAAGACAGATTCCCTTGATTATGAATCTTGATCTTCCTTTCCTAGCCTAAGTTTGTACCTGGGGAATTTAGTTGACTGCTTCTCCTCTGAGGTCAAACTGTAGCAGCGGCCATGAACAGATGTCCCTGTAGCAGTTGATACAGTTGGGCTACATTTGTTGACCTCCTCCCCCGCCCCCAACCCTAATGTTTGTCAGTGCAGGATGGGACTGCCATTTTAGCACATTACTGTAGATACGCACCACCAAGTCTTGGCTACAGATTTCCAATTATTACAAGTGAAGGATCTCTTATTCAGCTGCAAAGTCTTCTCTTGAAGGATCTCTTATTCAGCTGCAAAGTCTTCTCTAACATCATCTATGCAGTTGCTGTTGTCTCTTTCTGAAGTTGTTTGGATTTCCCAGGAGCCTGCAGGTCACGTTCACAAAACTGGTTTTAGAATTTTTAACATTCAGCTGTTGATGTTGTGTGCATGTATGTACATATATGTGCGTCCAATGGATTAATCGCTAGCCATATTGAGCTAATTCAAAATGTGTAGATCTTGGACTTTATGAAAACATTTAAAGCAGAGAAATAAATTTACGTTAGTAAATAAGAAATAAATTCAATCATCTTGGCAATCAAAAAAAAAAAAGGGTGTTGTGAAGGATAGTGTTAAAAGCCATGCTAGCAGCAAGTGGTAGGTTGTGTCATTGCCAAATCTGTCTTCTAACCTCTGCTTGACCTAATTCTGCTGAATTCCAGGGGTCTGTGCAAGTACGTGTTCTCTAGGTATAAGAATAGTAGCAGCAGTTACACTACCTAGAACAAGAACGTACAAGGGCTATCAGCTGTCTTGCCTAGGGGCATGAGATGATTGCGAGCTGGGGTTAAGAAAAAGCGTTTCCTTCCTGCGAGGCATTACATAATTGTCTGCGTATATTAAGTGTGTTGGGTTTTTTATCTGAAATTTCTTATATAAGCTGGTGCAATATGAAGATGCCAGACTAAGAAAAGAGTCTGGCATATATATTATGGAAATACCTTTGTATTCTGTTTTTAACGCTGTCCAAAACAAAATGAGATTCACTGTATGTTTCACCTTGTTAGCTTTGCAATGCATTGCTTTTAACACTGTCCTGCCAGCTTTGTGACGCAAATTTGACTGCAACTGAGGAATATTATTAATCCTCTCATCTCCTTGTGGGGAATCAAAGTTGAGCCAAATGAAATGTTTTGTGCTACGGTGTCTTCTTTTATTGTTGCACATACAAAGCAAGTAAAAACGCTGGCTGCCAGGATCTCACTAGAGTGATACTGCTTCTCCACGTTTATGAGATGCCAGTAAAGCAGAAGTTATTCTTTTTCATCTTGCAGCTTACTCTTCACCAAAGTAAAACTGGAATGGATACATAAAGGACCTGAAGAGGCTCTGGTGACATGCAGACATATGTTGCAGATGTGGCAGATGGTATATAATGTTTTACAGCACAGGTAGGCTTTCTCCACTGTCTAACAAATTCGGATTTCATAATGGAGATGCAGTTATCTTCTTTAATTGTCTGGAGGTACTTAAGTTATTTTGCAAAAAGGGTAATCAACAGTACTGTTTAAAGAGAAACATAAGTAATATTTCTAGCTGTGATAAAAAAAAAAGGCAAGATTTTACTAGCCGTGATTTAAAAAAAAAAAAACAACAAAACCTCAAGATTTTAAGATTGAAGAAGCAGTTTGAACCAAGAGTTTCTGATCTGAATGTCTGAACATCTCTATCCATATTCAGATGTCCAGAAGGGAGGGCAGATTTTTTTTCCCCCCCCCCCCAATAGTCTGAGCATCCGTCAGCTATTGTTCACAGTCTGCAGCAGCTGGCACCACCCAGGAATGTGGTGGGATGACACAGTCCTGAACTGAGTAAGCCAAGGAAAGGGACATGGCCAAGACTCTATCACATGCTGTGGTTGCATGCTTGTTGTGTAGCCTGGTGCTAACTGGGCAAGGAAAGGAGTGAAGGATGTAGCATCTTTCTACCATCCCTTGCCCTAGTAAATCTGCATTTAAATAGCGCTAGGTTCCCTGTTGGTTCCCTCCTTCTCATCTGCTTCCCCTTCGAAAGGTGAAGTTCAGAAAGTGTGGAAGTTACCAGGTTGGGTTTTCTTCCTTCCCACACCCTATGGATATTGTCCCAGTCATCCTACCACTGTACAGCTGTCTTGGGAATGTTATCCCAAGACTGTACTTCTCTCTCACGTGTAGTGTCCATAGAGGTTATGTTTGATGGGAAGGACAGCATGCTTGATGGCAACAGTCTCAACAGCAGACTGATGAAGCTTGTATTGTTCCCCAATTTCTGTATGCATTTACATAAGCTTTATAAACACCAGAAATATATGTACAGAATAATGCATGTCTATATACAAGTTGTCCTTGAGGGATTATTAGTAATTTCTTGTTGGTTTAGCTAATAAGCAGCAGAACAAACACAAAAATCAAGATATTTACATAGCAGCAGAGAAATGGTCTCTTACAGGCTGGAATTACTGATTTCCTTAGGCCTTAGTCTCTCTAGCTAAGGATTCAATCATGTACTTCTCACATGAATAATCTTTATACCCATGAGTAGTCCTCATGAAGCTGATCAAATCCACGCTGAACAATTAAGACTGAGTAAGATTTACTTTTGCAAGGGGGGGCAGCAAGTCTGAGACTGAAGAGAGTACATTGGAAAACAGACAAATAAATTTGGACTGCATTCGGATCCCAAGCTGTGCTTTGGCTGTTATACTTAAAAACCCAAGATGCTTTAGAGGCTTTTGATAAGCTTTAGCCATAGAAGCCTAAACAAAACAAATTGCTTTGCTTTTGCTCTTAGGAACTCTAATGTGTGTTTCACTGCTATTCCCAGTGGGACTTTTTGGCGCTCTCAAAAAATACTTGATAAAGCATTTTGTATTGGGAAGTACTGTTTAAAGGCAGCAAGAATGAACTTGGCACCTGCAGTTTTAGGCTGGATTCAGTGACCCAGGAAGCCCCTTGTATTAAGCAAATTGCAGCAGTATCAGCTAACAAATATGTAAAATATTCCGGGTTGGGCTTGCAAAGGAACTTAAGGGGAATTCTTATCAGTGAGACTTGGATGCAGGCATTTTTCAGAGCCTCTTGGAAAAGAGAAGCCTGTATTTACATGAAGTTGAGAGCTGTTGCACCCAATACTCTTTACTAGTTCAATCAGTAGCTAATCGCCCACACAATTAAATTGCACTTTAGTTACATTTGGTTGCATTTGTCTGGCCTAAGTTTCCCAGCTTTGCAATCTTACTATGACTCAGCTAGACTAAAGAGTCTTTCAGGGCCCAATATTTTCTCCCCAAGCAGCTATTCATATGCTATGCCCAAGACCCCTTTTGTCTTCTCTCTGATAAACTGGTGCCTCTGCAGTTTCTCACAATCAAGAGTTTCCTTCGGCAGTTTTTGTGACCATTTTATGCACTGTCTCAACTACCCTTTAAAAACATGGGCAGCAGAGTGGCAACGTGTCCCACTGTCAGCCTTTCCAGTGTCGTATGTGGAAGGCAAATCATCTGATTACTGTCCCTTAATGGGGGGGACATGGAAAAGCTTTCTTGGCTGAAGGCCTTGTACTGCAGCTTTGAAGGAGCAGTTCATTTTCAGCCCTTCTCCAGCATAACAAATAAAGCCGTGGGGAGTGGCTGTTTTGCACGATGCAGTCCACTTGGTTTTCAGGCTGGGATTTCAGTCTGTTTTCCCAGTTTAAAGGCCATGTTGACTGTATTGAGATGCATTTTTGTTAACTGAGGCCACCTCGTCAAGCCGCCTCTGAATGCTCCTCTCCTGTGGTCAGTTTTTACTGACTGACTGAAACTTACACTGTCCACCAATCTCCTCACCTGTCCTTTGTGTAGGAGTATAGCATATAAGCCAGTATTCAGCCGTGTGCCTGATCAGTGATTTTGTGGTGATGGCTGCTGCATCAAAGCAGCGCTCGCCTCATGGGAGTAATATTTTGAAGTGCAGCTGCCATGTTCCTGCGTACGCAACACACCAGCAAGACAGAAATGCCCCTACAGTTCCACCAGCAGCCCCCAGTCAGGGTAATGACACCTGGGCTAATCCTGGCTAGGCAAGGCAGTTGCGCAGGACAGAGAATTTAATTTTCCCTTGCATCTGTCACCACATGATAGTCTCAAATGATATATCAGTGTGGAAACCAGGATGAAAGACAGGGGGGCCCAGTCAAGGCCAGAGATTTGTGCAAACAGTCAAATGCCCAAAAATTCAGGGTCCGTTAACAGAAACCGTAATGTTTGATCCCAAAGCCCAAATAAAAGGTTAATTAGCTACTGTAAATATGATTACCGCTATGATGAACGACAGTAAGTGGCTTTCAGTCCTAGGTTGTTAGTTGGAAAGGACAAGACTTAGTTTATCTTTTGCTATTGTTTTCTGTGATAACAGAATAATCATGTTTAAAATCAAATAGCAGTCCCGAGCTAATTCTTCTGCTAAATTCATGCAAATTCAAGGGAATCCTGTGCAATCCCTACCAAAGGATTGATCAGACTGGAAGACAGGGCATCCACAGCAATCATGACTCTGACAGTTTGTTTCCTGGGAGGAATATTGTCCAAAGGCTGAGCTGCAGGCTTGAAAGTGTGCCAGAAAAAGTAGCCAGGGCAATCACTTTTCCCTTTGATATTTTGTCCCTTAATGGATGATGAGAGGAGATATCATCACCATCTGATCCTGGGGGAATGGCAGACTATGTGGTGACAGAAAGGCTCAGGAAATCTGCGTTAAGTGATTTTTTTTTTTTGGCACATGATTTTTTTTGTTTTTGGAATTTCCCTTTGGAAGACCTCTCCTGTGAGGACAGAAGTCTAGTAGAAGAGCAGACCAGATAGTCTTGCTTTCATAAAGCGCTGCTATGTGGTTGCTTTTATCTTCCTCTTCTGTTTGAACAGAACAAAGCTGGAAGAGGAGAAAATAATCCCTTTGAAATGAAGAAATTAGCACCTGGGTGGAAGGTGGTAATTGGCCTGTTTCAAGAGGATCAGCACAGCAGACCTGTGAACAAATCCTTCTGCAGACAAGCCCAAGGGATGGTGGTTCTTCCTGGGCGTGGGGCTGCTGGTTGTCCTCCTCTAGTCTGGCTTCTAGCTGCCAACATGTTCCTCGTCCAGTAGTTTGCAAAGACTTGCAACAGCCAGATAAACTGATACTGGCATGTGCCCTGGAGCCCTTGCCGGGCACCGTGTCTCTGAGCTTCCTGTCCATTGGCAGAGTGCAGGTGTTAAAACAACACATTCAGGAAGCTGATTGCCTGCAACTGGAAAGCTTGAGTTTTCAGTTCCAGTGGCAGCTAGATGAGACTATTGCCTGTCTCTCCGCTGAAAGGTGGCCAGGTAACATGGTTTTGTTTCTTTACAGTGGCTCTGAGAAAGGAAGTAGTGTGACCGAAACACCGGTGATCAAAAAGCCTAACGGACTGCATCTCACGCTCCCGGATGCTCACGATACTGATTCTGGTGAGGAAACAAGATTTGTGCTTTCCCATCCTAAATGCATGCTTTTGTGAGAGAGGAATGCTTTATTTTCTTCAGCGAGGCGGGGGGGGTCGAGGCTGTCCGCACGTGTGTTGCTGGGCTGATGGTCAGGAGGCCCAGATCTGTCTCCAGGGTCCTCTCTGCTGCAGAACGTGTCACTGTGGTTTGGCTGTACCTTGGCTTTCCTATGCATAAAACAAAGATATGGGTTCCCACTTTCTTTTACAAAGCGCTCTGAGATGAGCATGAAAGGTATTAGATGAGAGTTCACTATACTTCTGCAAGAATTGTATGATTCAGTCCTTTTTTTTTTTTCCTTCTTTCGCCCCCAATTGATCCTTTTTAGATGTCCTGATCAAGCCAGCTATTATTGTGGGTTTGGAAAGCTGAGTAAGAGTGTCAATTCCTATTAGAAGGTGATTTGGTTTGGGATTTGTACATAAACCTTGTGATGCTTTATTATATGGTAAATACACATTCACAGTAACAGATCTAGTCAGATGGAAATAACTGAGACATCAAACCTAATCTTGGCACGAAGGGGAAAGGAGGCTTTCAGAGAGTGCTGCTGACTTGTGATTTTATCATAAGTCTCGTGATAGTTGGTGCTTCCTTTAAAACCCTAGCTCTCAAAGTCAGATGATTATGTGAGAAACTTGCCTTTTAATTTGGTTTTTTTTTTTTTAGGGAAGCAACTTTCTACCTTTGTATATGTAGAGAAACACTTTCAAAAAAATGAACCTCACAGACTCAGAAACTGGACAAGAAGAATATAAAAGCTTATTTTTTAAAAAACCTAATGCTTAAACAAGCCTCATGCTTTTGGGCTAGGGAATTAGGGTTTGTCTGAGTCTTAATCGGGAACATTTGGAATTGGTACAACTGAAGTCACATGCTCAGCACATATGGCTGAGATGGAGGACAAGTTCTTATGTGTTAAGTACAGGACTTGTATTAAATTATGTATACACCCTATTTACACCCAGCAATGGTTAAAAAGCATTGCAAGGTTAGGTCTTGAGCATACAAACATTCAAACATCAAAACATTATTCAGCATGTCTGCTCTTTTGTTTGTAGTGTTAAAACCTTAGGGTCTATATTTATGACATTGTAATCTTACTGATTCTGTGTACACATATTTATGTGATTTTTAATGCGTTTATTCCATTTCCCTTTTATTACCCTTTGAGATGAGTCGCTGTATTTTGTATGGGTCCTTTTTCTCATTGTTCATATGACAGTGTTCGATAGTTTTCGACTTAATTAAAGAAAACAGGCCAAATTCAGCACAGATAGATGAAGAGGATATACTAAATGAATATGTTCTGTTTGGCATATTAAAAATTATCTGGAAAAGGGAGTGGATATGACATGAAAGTTTCCTGGAGATACAAAATCATTTAGATTAGTCATCACTTTCATAATTGTGAAGATCTGTGAAATAGCCCCTATCATCCCTGATGCTGGGCAGTAAAATGGACTTTCAGTTTCAGTGAATGGGTGAAAATGGCTTGGAAAACTGTAGGTAGTTTGCAGAATCCATCAGCCACTAGGCATTACTAGGAAAGCAATAAAAACCAAAAACTATTATTTGCCACAGTTGTTCTGTTATCGATCCAATTCCCACTCTGCTGCTGAAACAGTGAGTGGCTTATGGTCCTAGACTGTAGGGCTGAGCCTGGATTGATCCCTGCTCCTTCAGCTCTGGCTGGTGCTTAATGGTATGTAAAAGGCATTCTGGGTGTGGATTCCATGCTCTTCTGGAGATCTCTTGCCTTGCTCTGTAATTGTCTGGAGAAAGGAGTGTGGCCAGGTTTGGGCTACACCCACTTCACAGCATGGTTTGAGATTTTGGGATTAAATTGTCACCAGCAGAGCCTGTAATGTTTTGATGTGCTGGGCTGCTATCCTTCTAAGACCTCACTCCTGCCTCCTGCTCGCTTCTCTGCTGCAGACCTGCAGCATCTACTCCAGAGTCACAGCAAAGCTCAGGCGCGTTTAGTCTCTGTGTAGGGCCCTCCTCAAAAAGTACCGGGGTTGGGTACCTGTTCCAGCCTGCTCTTAGCCCAGTTTTAGCAGCCAGCATGCAATGGAGCAGCTGTAGTTCAGCAGAAGGTGCTGTATGCCATGGTACTGCCTGCCAGAAAGAACAAATTAATGTAAAGTACAAGCTTTAAACCAGCTTTTCATGCACATAAAGTGATTTGCGCTGAATGCAGTTTGGTTGTAGCCAAGAAATGTATTTCTCCTCCACTTTGAGAATCTAGGTTTCCATGCTAACATGGTTGCACTCACAATGGACATAAGGGGCTCATACTGAAATTACACTATCTGCCTTAGCGCAGGACAGGCGCTAGCTGTTTTCAACAAGGGTCTGTGGCTCGCTGCTCTGCAGGCTCTAGGTGCTGCTGTTCTCCATCTGCAGAAAGGAGGCAGCTGGGTCTATTTTCCCGGTTGGGAGCCTCTTTGAAGACAGTAGGAGGTGAGATTGGAGAGTACAGCGCTAGTCCCTCTCGCCCTTGTGCCTCCCTAGAGCTGCGGCTGAGGCTCACTGCTTTGAAGGAGGGCGGAGGCCTGATTTTTTTTGCATCATTCTGGAACAGGCTCTGGTTTCCATCGTGAAATCCCCTGGGAGCGTGCGGCAGTATCGCTGTAATGCACAGGCGCTCTGTGATCTCTGGACTCGTCACTGAAGGGGGGATTACTGCGGCTGGGTTTGACACTGGCCTCTCCCTCAGTTAGACCCCAATGAGATTATTTGCTGTGCCAGAATTTTAGGTTTGCTGCCAGGAAGATTAATTCCTCTTTATTTTCTTCATCTTCTCCTAACTGAAGCAGTGTTCCTAACTAAATTCACTGATATCAGTCAGCTGCCTTGCTGCTTCATTCATTTCTGATTTAGTCTTATCTTATAACGCTTTTGCCTGAAGTGATTTAGGCTAGGGAATTCTGTGTTTCTTATAAGCCTAGTAAATCTACTGAGGTACACTTCTATTTTGATAGCAGTTTTTTCATAGATGCAAAATATTAAACTTGGTCCTTCTTGGTCTTATAACAACCCTAGAACGGTGCTTTAAAATTATTTAGCTATATTTTGTATGGCTTATATGCAGAGCTCATCACGACAAAATCAATTTTGTTATTTTTATGATTTCTTTGCAAAATGTGTGGAGGGCTTTATTGTAAAATGTGAAGTTTATATTCTGTCTAGTGGAGCTGTTAAAAAGAGAAAGAGACTGCACTAAAATAACAAATTTATGTGATATCTTCTTATGCCAACATTTGCATGTATTTTGAGGCATGACATTAAAGTTCTGTGGGACAGGTTTTGTGTTTTTTTTAGCATATAAAGATCTACATTTCTTTAGGAAGAGATATTTTATAGTGAGACATTCAGAGACTTTTTTTTAATGTCGCTTGAAGTTTTTCCGGCTCCCCCCTGCCACCCTGAGGTCAGAGTGATACCAGTGTGATACATGCCTACCTCCTCTCTCGGGAGATGGCGTGTGTAGAGGTATACTCTTCTCTGGCTCCAGTAGCCCTCAGCCCACCCCCAGGGTCACCATATTGCTTGCCTGAGGTTCAGAGCTGTGGCTGAGCCTCTTTCAATCCAGAAGGGCCAGGCTGGCAAAGACCTTCTCTTGCAGAGTATATCTGGGCAGACAAGCTTTAAGGAGCGTTCCTGTGAGCAGTCCAGCAGAGATGGGTAGGAATGGCAGTAGCAAACATGTGGGTATGGGCTGGGATGGAGAGCACCTTATCTTCTGGCGTGTGTGTGTGTCTAGAACAAGGAATGTATCTGTGTCTGAGGCTGGGTAGGGATGGGAAGGCATCGGCTGGTTTCAGCCTAGTGTGGTTTGCTTCCCTGTGTAGGCTGAAATGGAAAAGGAAATAAACATAAATGGTCTGGAATGCCAAAGGCTGCTAAATGCAAAGAGCCTCCACTGTAAATTGCTAAATAATTTGGGTTCCCTTTTTATGGCTGTGCAGATTGAAGCCCACAGCACTGGGCAAGATCAGTCTCAAATTGCAGGCTTTCCCTTCTTGGCAGCTACCTGACTAGTGAAGAGAAGGAGAAGAGGAGCAGCTAACTTCGTGTTCCTAACTCGTGCAACTAGCTTATAGTGATATTCCTGTAAAGCCTGCTTTGTGAGGGAAGGATGCTTTAGTAGTTCCTAAGTGGCTGTTCAGCCTCACAGCAGCGTGTGAACCTCTCCAAAATGCACAAAAGTGCCTTACAGTGACATAGTCTCCTTGGATTGACTTGCAAGGAAAAGAGGATTTCCCTGAGCTCTGTGAGGATGTGAATAAAACACCAGCCCACCTGCCCACCTAATGCAACCAGACCAGTGTTACATACGGGTGCTTGCAAGAAACACAGCCCCAGAAAGCCTCTCTGAAAGAGGGCAGTCTTGGCAGAGAAATGTAATGCTGAAAGTTGCTTTCAAAGCATACTAACGTGATCAGCAGTGCTAATATAAGAATCTGGTTAGGCTGACTGCAAAATATCCAAAGCCCATGTAATTTTTTCCAAGTTTGCCAATCTAGAAGGCAAGAGGTCTGCCCTAACGTCAGAGTGCTCCTAATAACACCACTAGCTGTTCATGTGGCCATTTTCTTGTTGCCTCTGCACTGCAAAGAAGCTGTCGGTGTTTTGGATGGCTGGGGGTGAGTGCCTGGTAGTTTTCCCTGTGTTAAACAACCCGTGTCTGACTTGAATTCCTGGGAGTTTCAGTGAAATTTCTCCCAGGTGGAGGGAGGGATGGGGGGAGAGGAGTGTGAGTGGGCAGGGCAGGGGGAGGAGTCCCGTGCAGTGAAACAGGCTAAAGATGGATCTGTTAAATAAACTGTTAAATATAATAAATTGTCGGTGCAAAGCAGAACGGCTTTTACCGTACCATTAAAGCTGTAATTGTTACGTTACTGCACTGTCATCTCTTGGAACATTAGATCAGGAATGTCTTTGAAAATATGTAGGAATTTAAGAAATGCATCTAGGAAGAGCATATTTGCATTTTCCAAGGGAGCCGTGGGAGGCGCCTGTGCTGCGGGGCTGTTTTGAAGTTCTGCTTAAAATGAATGACATTAGTTAGCGGTGAGATAATGGGACAAGTATTTCCCATAGCAGTTTTAGGCTTCGAGTTGCACTTGCAGCCTCACCCTAGCCATGACACTCTGAGGCAGGCAGCACTGCCTTGGGTTAGGTAAAAGCTGCAGGCCATATCCTGCCCCGCGCCGCGCAGGTGTCAAAGGAGTGTGGGATGGAAATGTGCCTCCCCTCGCGCCTGGCAGAAGGCTGGGTCCCAGCTCAGCATTCAGAGGAGCACCGGCCAGGGGACCACGGCCAGGAGACCATGCTGCTCTGCCTGCCGGCACCCTGGCTCCGGGTGATGGCCTGCTGGCGAGGAGGTGTGGTTTGGCAACCCTCTCTTCAGCACGCTCCAGCTGGAAGCGCATACTGTCCATCTCAGAGACACCACTTAATGCATATGCCCCGTGAGAGGTTTTTTGCCCTTCTGTCCCTTCCCTTGCCCAGAGCCGTCCCAGTTTCTCCAAGTACCTGTTCCTATGCTCTGCTGCTCCCTCAGGGTGTCTGCGGTGAGAGAAAGCGTAATTTTTAACTCCGGGATCTTGTGGTCTACACAGTCAGCCTGTAAGGATAGATTGAAGAGTAATGCTAATCAGCACAAGTGCTTCAGTCACAGCAGCTCTCCAGAGAAAGAGCTTATCAACCTTAAAGTCACATTAAACCTATGTATATTAAAATATTTATTTCCCAAAGCTTTACAAGGCCAACTCTGAAATCTCATTTTGTAGCTTTTTATTTTGTTACCATCCTCTTGGTACCCCTCTGAGAGGTCGGCTCACCAATATAATTCCACTTGCTGTACTGGAGAACGTGGTCTCTGCCCATTCATTCTTCCCGGGAGTAGCTTTTCATGTGATGTTTTGTCCCAGAGATGTGGGTGCCAAATGCTTTATTCTTGCGTAAATGTTACAGCACATACTAAAGGTTAATAGAGTCAAAGCACTGAGCTCTCTGCTCCCCAAGGTTAAATGAAAAACCATGCTGCCTCTAAACCAGTAGAACGATATTGATCTCACTTGAAATGTGTGTGCTATGTGGTGCCAAGCTACTCTGTTATGCGTGCTAAGATTTTACATTAGTGGGCCATGTTTTGTAATTGTATGGTGACAGTGTGCTACAAGATGGATTACTAATAAGTATTTGTGGGAAATATTTGATGGTAGAGTTCTACTTTCCAGATGAGCAAAATAAGATTGCTTCTGTGATGAATGCTAAGCAGACCTTTATAAAATTATTGTCTGTCTCTTAATTCGCTTGTTTGAGTTGCAGCCCCTGGGTAATTTAGTGGTTTTTTTTTCAGTAAATTAACTTTTTATAAAACATGGTTCTCTAGTTAGTCACGCCAGAATTCAGTGAAGTTCTTATTACATAAAAGTGATGCAGTGAGTGGAGAATCAGACCTACTGCCTTAACGAGTCAAAGAAGTATAAGATGCATTATTGTTCTTGTTTGTTTGGTCCATAGGATCACAGCGAGCCTCTTCCCTTGCTGCATCAAGAATGGAACAGGCCATGTCTGAAATAACTATGCAGAGCAGCGCAATGAAGCAAGGACCTGTGCAGCTGTGGACAGCTCTTGAACAAATTTGGCTACAAGCTGGTAAGTCCTGGACCACCTGGAGTTTCTTTTTTCCTTCAGTGGTGAATGAGATGACATAAGTATTAATGGAGTAGTTGAAATCAGTAGTTGAAAATCACCTTATTCCAGCAGAAAATCTGCCTATCTATCCCAGCCAGTTTTTGGAATACCACTTATTTGATTCAATATATTAAAAAAAATACTAAAGTAGTGCAATTTTTCAGCTCATCTCTGTTTTTCCATAACACACAGAAAACTTCAGTCATCACGAAAATATGTTTTTAAAAGAAGAGAGTAGGTAGTTCTTCATTAAAAAATGGTAGTTGGTAGGAATAATTATTTTCATTCTCCTTTTCCAAAGTGCTTCCCTGTAATAATACTGGGAAAAGATGTATTAAATATTATTTAGACTGGGAACTTTCCAATCTTTGCTGAGGTTTAAGTGAAAATTATTAGAAAGAGCAAGTCATCCACTCATTTTATCCTTGACTGAATCTCCCAAGGACTTGTAGGTTGCGTGTCAGTTTGAGACAGTCATGCAGAGATGCTACAGCAGAGCACATAAAGGGAAAAGAGAACAGTGAGAAGGAACTCTACCCAGAGGTGATCTCCAAACTCATGAAAGGGTTTTATGTAGGACACTTGGTGAGGAATGGAGTTGCACAGCACATTCTACCATTCGCATTTCAGCATTTCAGGACTGATAGAAAGAGTTCTGACCCTGCAATTTTGCTCTTAAGAGACACAGCTTTTCTTCCACAACTGGGCCTACAGTTGTGCGCCTGAAATTACATTTGAGTGCTGCGATTGCTTCTTAGATGTCTCTGCTACCATTTGCAACAAAAAAAAAAAAGCAGAGCCTACTGGAACCTTGCTGATAATTTGCTATTCTGTATGCAGGAGAACCTTTCAAATTCTCATTTAGCTAATCTGTTACAATTGACAATTCTCACATAAAACCTGGCAGTCTCACCCTACTTCTCAGCAAAGATTTTTATAGCTGTTTTTGTGGGCCATTTCCTACCAATTAGACTTCAGTTCTGGTACAAAATGTGTGACATTCTTTTTGTTACAATTTGACTAACTATTAAAGAACAAAAGAAGTTATGTTATGGAATGCATCATCCTTTACATTAATCACGTGTTCACTTAATGGCTTGTGTGTATGTAAATTTCAATTATGTGCTGTGGACTTCAAAATGACTAGGAAGATTTTGCTTTATTCAGTTTATGCTCCTGATTTAAGGCTGCAGAGGAGGCTGGTGGGGAGCAAAAAAACGGTTTATTGTGATGAGAAGTCAGGTTTCTGTTGTCCATCATCCTGCAGATAGCTTTACATTTTTGCTGCTGTGTGAAAAGACAAAAGCAATAAAGACCTAGTGCTTGCTGTGACCTAGCTGTGAATTGCTACAATTTTTCAGTGTAAATCGAGTGCCTTTCTCAAAGGTGTTAATTAATTCTTTTAGATAGAATTTATTTTTATAAGCTGTAACTTTTTTGTCCTAGTCTATCATTTTTTAAATCTTTGTTTTGTTTCATGCTTACTTTTAACTGGACTTGAATCAGGATTGATATTTTGAAAATACATACTGTGACTGCTTTGTAATTTCATTACTGAAGTCAGTTATTGTTACGGATGCAGCTCAATGAGCTCTTGGTGAGGTACTGCCCATTCTCTTCTCGCAGTAGTGTGGAAGTCACTACATCATGCGGAGGAGAGATGCAGGTATTTTGGGGTAGTCTTTACTCTCTGCAGAGAAGGGCACAGCGCCTGAATAATTAGAGGACTTCTTTGAAGTGGGTCGGATCTTATACTGGGCTTAGTGAATGGAATAGTCCAAAAGGGTATCACTGACCTTCTGTACTAGAATCTTTCCCATCTGGAAGGAGGGGAAAAGAGGAACAGGTATACTCGAAAGAAGTTAGTAACTTCCAAAATAGAGATGTTTCATAAACAACAAATTAAACAGAAAAGCGTGGTTAAAAACAGTTGAAGTAGTCACATGCTTTTGCGTTACAGCTCACCCCAAAATTAACAGCTGTGGAAAGCAACGGGCGATTAGCATAACGTTCTGATGCCTGCATCTGGAGTCCCTTCATATTCATGATAGAGCCGCACCAGTATGCTGTAGATTCCTGTCAGGTTTTAGCTTGGACTTGTCCTTTTTCAGTCGATGACTCATCTTGTGACTCCAGGCAAATAGCCTAACTTTTTCATACCTCAGTGTCCTATCTCTAAAGGGAAAAAGTGTTAATCTGCCTTTGGGAAATGACTCGTGTATTATCATTTTTGTTGTTGTTAACACTTTAACTTTTTTAGCGTGAATCATAAATCTTTAGATAAAATTACTACAATTTCCTAACCTCATACTACAGTAAATTTGTAACAAAGCATCTGTCCTTTTCAGACACTAAGAGCACGCAGCTGGCCATGTCTCTGTGTGTGGGTATGGATTTAGAGCACCAAGCTGCAATCGTGTCTGGGTTCTATTAGAGCCATTACAGTTCCTGTGCCTCTTCATATCCCAAGGCATGAAAACTAATGGTACCAACTGACTGATCCAGTTGGAGCTTTCTGTACTTAGATTGGAAAGAGGCATACAAAACCAGCTATCCCACAGCTATGTGAGGCTGTTCTTACAGCCTTCCAGCAGCTAGTCCAGGCCACAAAGCCAGCACATAGGCTTGCAAGGGGACCATTAGTGGGTGGTAGCTATCAGATGGTGCTTATGTAGGGGAATTGTTACTGTATCACCCTCCACCTGCAGCTGCAATAGGAGTTCCTGCCTTGTGCAGAAGCATCCTCAGCCCCTCGGAGCTGGAGAGTCCTTGTTGCACTCCTAACGGGTCTTGCAATTAGCACATGAGAACATGTGCATTCTTTTAACAGTGGCTGAAGGCAAGCGGGGCTGTGAACCCTATGCGAGTAGTTAAGCTCTTTTGTCCTGTGATAAAGATACTTATCTCACGCATAAGAGGGCATAGACTTAGTGTTTTTATCTGTAACTTTTCTGGGTTTATGACCAGCACAGTTATGTAGGGAAGATAATAAACCAGCAGCTTTGGAAGTGCAGCTGCTAAATCCAGATGTGCTGCACTATAATGGATGCTGCACCTTGGCTTTCCCTGCAGCACTGCCTAGTGAACTTTGGCAAGCTAATTTTTTGTAGCTTACTGTAAGCAACCAAAGAGCTACTTGATGGATCTGTGGTCTCTAGAAAGAGTCCTCTTCTCACTGTTAATCTTATGTCCAGCCATCTCTTGTAGGACCAGCTGGGAGTACAGTCATCTGCAGCAGGAAACTTAGCACATTTCTTCGGTGGGCTTCCATATCTTCCTGTTTTCCCTGCAGGTAGTCACAATTAGCTTTGGAAGAGTACAAGGTCTGCTGTCCCCTAAGACTAGAGGGGTTGTCCACTCCCTGCGGCAGGCGTGCTTAGAGGAATACTAATAGGCATACTCTGTTTTCAAGTGTTCTGCAGCAAAGACTGTGATTAACACAGCTTGTCCAGTCCCTTTTAACAATAACCTCCCAGTCCTCTTGAAATGTAATGGCTTCTTAAAAGGAGAGAATTCTCATTAGGCTTTAACATTAATAAGCCTAAACATTATTCTTGGCCCCAAGTCTGAGAAACAGGTCGTTTCAAGGAGTACTCAGGAAGGGTGCTGCAGTGCACATGCTGCTGTGGTACAGCTCCAGGAGAGGTGGTCTTTATGTGATCCATATGCCCCTTTTTCCTTTTTGTTCTACTTTTCATGACTGAGAGCTTGAATTCAACTTTGACAGGAGAGAAGGGACTTCCGTGGCATTGTTAAAGCTTGTTAACTCCTTCCACCTCTTGTTGCAGGAAGAGCTGCAAGGGGAATCCTAGAGATTACTGGTGGTAATACTGCTTGTGTTACCAAGAGAAACGTCTGACCTAGGAACTATTTCTACCCCTTATTTCCGCTTTAAAATCATGCCAGTATTACTCCTTTCTGTTTAGAAAACACAATCATGCTGTTTGGCTAAGGAAAATGTACTTGAAATGGGTCAAATTTGTGATGAAAATTTACCTTCATTTGACATTTTTATAAGATCACTTCTGACCCAGAGAGCAAAGTGTGTCAATACTGAAAAGAAATAGTTTTAATAGTTTTAAGCTCTTTGGGTAACTGGAGTGATTTCTTATCTGAAGTATGTGTGATTATATTTGCAGGCAGTAATAACTGTATGCTCTATTTATATGGAGCATTTTAGAATGCTGCAAGCCAGTTTTAATAAGAGTTCTGATATTCCAGCTCCTGTTGCTATATTATTTTAAGCTTTACTTTTAACTTCAATGTCCACTTTGTTTGTCTTTACTAGTACTTTATATCTGACAATTTAGCTTCTTGACTAACCCAATACTTTACCAAATATGGCCACTCACAGCAAAGTAGGTCTGGTAATTTGATCTAAGATTGGCTAAATGCCTGCTAAGCACAGTCTGCGAACCTCACCAGGTAGACCTAAGGCTAATTTAAAGGAGCATTTAACAAAAAATGACTAGGATAACTGTTCCATGTACTCACAGTGGGGCTGGAGTGGGCTACCTGCTGTCTCAGTAACGTGCTAAATTTTACCCTAGGAAAAAAATATTGTAATGAACATGCCACGAACAAGAAATGTAAAGAGAGCCAGTGTAGCAGAGAACAGTGAGCTAATGGAAAAACATCTGCTCCCCCGAGTTATGTACAGCAGGAACTTCCCCCCCGCCCTTCACAAAACGCTTGTGATTTATTTATTTTATTCCGCATGGGCCAATTCCTGGGAAAAAGCTGTGTTAGAGGAGATGGGCTTTGTTCCACAAGAACATGTCGTTGGGGCCAGTGGGCTGGAATCTTCAAGCCCAGCTGGCCTGCGGCCGCACAGCGGGAGCCTTGGCAGCAGCCAAGGGCATGGCCAGGCCCTCCCCTGCTGCCCCTCAGCAGCTTGTATTTGCACAGCCTGTGCACGGGTCTTTAAATGCTCTTCCTTCCTGAAGCTTTAGCGATCCTAA